CCTTCTAGGTTTCTCCTTCAGAAGTTTGGGACATTCATTTTTATAGTGGTCTGGCTCCTTGCACTCGTAGCACACTACATCTTTCTTTCCAGATTTCTTATGTCTAGAAGATTCTCCATGCTGATCAGATCTCTTGAAGTTTCTGAACTTCTTTTGTTTATGCTTCCAGAGTTGGTTTATCCTCTTGAACATCAAAGACAGTTCATCTTCTTCTTCTGAAGATTCTTCAGAGCTTTCTTCAATAACCTGCAAAGCTTTAGCAAATTTGTTAGATTTTAACGTAACAGACTTACCTTTCTTCTGAGGCTCGTCTTCCTCCAACTCAATCTCATGACTCCTTAAGGAACTGATCAGTTTCTCCAGAGTGATCTTATTCAGATCCTTTGCAAGCTTCAGCGCTGTCACCATTGGTCTCCACCTTGTAGGTAAGCTTCTGATGATCTTTTTGACATGGCCAGAAGTAGAGTAACTTTTATCCAGAACCTTCAACCCAGCAGTTAGGATCTGAAATCTTGAGAACATAGTTTCCACAGATTCAGACTCCTCCGTTTTGAAGGCTTCGTACTTCTGGATGAGGGCCAGAGCCTTTGTCTCCTTTACTTGGGAGTTTCCTTCATGCGTCATTTTTAAAGACTCAAACATATCAAATGTTGTTTCACTATTTTTTATTTTCTCATACTCAGTATGAGATATAGCATTTAATAGAATGGTTCTCGCCTTGTGATGGTTTCTAAACTCCTTCTTCTGTTGATCAGACATAGACTTTCTGTCAACCTTTTTGCCTTCATCATTTGTAGGATGAATATAACCATCAGTAACCAAATCCCATAAGTCAGCGCATAGCCTAGAAAGAAACTTTATATTCTATCTTTCCAGTAACCAAACTTATCACCATCAAACATGGGAAGTTTGGTGTTGATTCTGTTTCTATCATCGTATTTGTTGTTGTATGAAGTTGAAGTTGAAGCTTTAGCAGCCATGATAAATCAAGAACAATATATTAAGAGTTTTTCCTAACAGGATCTTTTTCTGTCACGGTTAAGTGAGAGCACTTACAGAACTGGAGCTCTGATGCCAACTGAAGGTAGAAAAAACACTTAGAAGGGGGGGTTGAATAAGGGTTTTAAAACAATTAAGATGATAGAAAAATAATACAGTATTTTTATCCTGGTTCGTTTGAACTCAAACTAATCCAGTTCACCCTACCAAAGTGATTTGCCTTTCTCAACAAGGACTTAATCCACTAAATCAAACTGATTACAGTGTTAACCACTAAGACAACTGTCTTAGTCTTCTCAAGAAATTCTGACCACAACTTAGTCTTCTTAAGGAATTCTTTTTACAAAACATAAATTAACAAATGTGTTTAAGATGTGCTTCTAAAAAGCTATATCACAACAATGATTTTTATACAAGTTTTTAGAACGAATATAAAAACTATTCTAGCTTGAAGAATATTTGAATGAGTGCTTTGAATAATTTGTCAATAGTTTGTTTGAAGTTCGTTAACCTTTGAAGTGATGTTGAGACTTGCTTATATAGTACTTTGAAATCCATTTCTCAAAGACTGTGCAACCTGTGCATTCTATTCTTTTTGTCTTCTATTGACTTCTCAGAAGAGGAATGTTCTGACAAATCCTTTTTGTCTGAAATCCTGTGTCATGCACGAATGGGGAAAGAGCCGTTTAGATAAAGACAAGGAATATGCCAACGGATCTTTATTTGAACAGCATCTTCTTCAACAACTTTGGAACGTCTTGCATCAGAACTTCTGATGATGTTCCTAGTTCTTCAGATCAAAGTTAACTCAATCAGAGTTTCTCTATTAGAGTTTACAGCAAAGTGCTTTAAGCGTGAAATTCTTCATCAGAGCATACTTGCTTATCATACCTTCTGTACTTGCAGCGTTAAGTACTTCCAGAGTCTTCTGAAGCTTTACGTATTTTCTTTACTCAAGTTCTTCTTAGCTTCGCTCAGAGTCATTGTAGCAGATCAGAGTCTTCTAATGTGTTGCTTCTGACGCTCAGAGCTTTCTCGTTCTTTAGTGTTCAGAGGCGTTCTTGCTTCCAGAATAATATTAATTTTGATATCTGAAACAAATAAACACTTGAACAAAATTAGAGTATATAAATTTTCTATACAAAATTTCATTAATGTTATCATTAAAACTATGAGATATATTAAACACCAATCTGTATTCTAACAAAGGAAGTCCATGACTCTGAGCCCTCTGTCTAGAACCCAATGTCGATGGTCACGTAGTATAAGTCCCCGAGAAGCTTTTCTCGCGTGAGTCGATACGAAGACCTCACCTAAAATAGATTCATATGGTGGAGTTATCAACAAACATGCTTCTGTCATGTGTGATGACCATTCATGTGGTTCCATGACTTTGGGGTTCCTTTTAAACCTTAGACCACATCTTGTGAGAACCCTACTAGGAGAGCAATCAGTCTTATCCTTCATCCGTACCTCAAACCTTTGAACCCAATTACTAAAAAGAAAAAAAGAAAAAAAAACATGGAATCTCATTGCATCCATTCTATTGCATATGCATCTCATCAACTTGCATGCATACCATTTCCACAAAGCAAAAACTCATTATGCCTTTGTCCATTACTAGCCAGCTGATTTCCTGGTACCTGCTCTGAAGTAGTGGTAGCTATTGAAGGATGAAAAACTGTTTGAAGTAGGATCAAGCAGTGACGAGAAGGAAGATAGATGCCTTAAAAGGCGAGCTAAACCAGGTTACAAGTTGTGGTAGCTATGCCAAGGAACAACCTTCAGCATGTTGTGGTGGAGAATGTTGATCCCTTATGCTTTACTGTGATGACTAATCTAATGTATGGTCTTCTACCTAATAATGATCCTCAACAAGTGGATGTTCCTACTCAATATCATCCAGTGCATATCCCGATATCAAACAAAGTTCCCATGGTGCAGAAGAGCCCAATTGTTTATACTGATGAAGAGGATCCTCAATTCATAAGAAATGCGCCAAATTCTCAGAGTACCAGCCCGATTACAAAAATGGAGCGTTCTCAAGTGGCTGAAGTCACAGAAATAAGTCATGATCTGGAGAAACGATTAAGGGCTATAGAAGGTTTTAACACATTGAGGCATTATGACATGTGTTTGGTGTCAGGTCTTGTTATACCTCCGAAATTTAAAGTACCCAACTTCAAGAAGTACAAAAGGGATAGTTGCCAAAGACACCGTTTGGTGAATCAAGCCTAATTAGGTTTTATTATGTGTGTTTATGTTTGCTTACTTGTATGGCTTTTCCTTTATCTTATGTTTTTGTTATTGTTATATTGTTATATTGTGATATGGCTTTGTTGGATCTCTGGTACTTGAATATTTGATTGCAAACCTTGAGGAAAAGACTCTCCACTCGAGTCTAGAGAAAAAATTTGAGATAGAAGAGGTTGAGTAGTATGGACTTCCGAGAAGCTTTTCTATCAAATCATAAAAATTATAAAAATCATAAAAATGGGTTTTCTATACCTAAGAATTATAAAAATTACAAATTATACCTAAGAAAATATTAATAGTTTAAGTTTTCTATCAATTTGCAGCCGGGACTTTCCAATAGCCCTTTAAAAAAAATATTTTGAAATTTTGATATTCAACTTTACAACCAACTAATTCAAAAGAATCCACTTAGAAGCGTTGAAAGGTAAAGAAGTTATATATAGATTTTGTCTCTCCTCTCCCCTCTCCTCCATTGAACAAAAATAGATCTTAGTTGTTAAACAACATATGAACAACTTAAAAGGATTGTACTTGTGTGGTCAATCTCTCGAAATGAGAAAGTGTTCAACAACTCTAACATTTCAATGGAGCCTCGAAAAAAGTTTACTAATAGAAGACTTCCATTGTTCAAACCTTGAATTTGCAACGGAGACTTTTCATTTTTAACTTATCCTTTAGAATTTTTATTTATTTTTTCTAAATTTTGATATTCGATTAATTCAAAAAAATCAATTTCACCGTCCATTTGCAAGAATCTGTTTAAAAACAGAACAAACTCGGTATAAAGACAAACTCTATATAAAGGCCGAACAAACTCTATATGAATTGAACAAAACACTTAAATTATTATTTGCCACATAGTAGGAATGGAACCTAAGACTTGACGATAACAAACTCTCATAACATAAGTCTTTACCATTAGACCAACCCTAGAGATTAGTCTTTTAAAAATTGTTAGTAACATCCATATCTTTTGGACTCGTCATGTAAGTAGTCCTTTAAAACTGAATGAGGATAGTGATGTGACCAACCCTATTGCAAGTGTTGCTTGTGGTGGAGTGGTTCATGACAATTATAGGAACTTTTATTTATTTTTGGTTATGTTTCGTCTCTAGGAACTTGCTCCAATATGATGACTAAATTGTAGGCTATCTTAACGGGATTAAGAATGGTTTTTTAATCGAGGTTTTAGCGATATTGATGGTGAATCTGATTCAAAAATTACTATGAAATCTCTACTTTCTGATGGTTCATCATACCCATAATATCCTCGCACAATTCAATGCTGTTCTCTAATGACGTAAGGGCTTACATAGTTAATCTATTCATAAAAACCTAAGTACATCAATACATATTACGTCACTAAACCAGAAATTACGTATGCGAAATTACACCCACAAAAAACCTGTTGGACGCGGTTTTCTCTCACACCATGCCAACGTAGACAGCAACAAAAATAAACAATGTTACTAGTACTATTTAACTCTGCATGCCGTTTATAAAATTCCCAATTGCTTGGAATGAAAACAATGTTTTTAAGAAACCTAACTAATCTAATATATTAAACTTTGCTTTGCTATAGTAATTCAACAAGAGAAGTTCGTAAATCATATAATAATACAAACTTTGTAGTTCACGCTTTCTTCTTTTCTATAAATATGTTTATCATTTCTAGGTACGTTCTTTCAGTGCTTTGTTGAAAATCTTTAGAAAGCAAAACTATAATCAAAGTGTTAAAGACATTCATGTCACCTTCACTTTATTATCCTGTTACTACTACCTTCAAAAACGAGGTAGAATATCTTGACAATGATGAAAATCCATTAATGGGTTGTTATGCTTCTTTGTATCCAAATTTGCCTATTTTGGAAAAGAGTGCTACTTCATCATGGATTCTTCCTTTTCCTGATCATGAAACCGAAACCATTAGGGATAACAAGAAGGTGAAAAGATCAACCGTTACTATCCCTATTTGGTTTGCGAATTTCAGCAGCCATAGTAATAGTTTCTTCAACAGTATAAACAGAAGCAACAGTGTGAATAGCATTCCAAGGCTTCATTTTAGAGATCACATAAGGACTTATAAGCAAAGATATTTTGCTGCTGAAGCGGTTGAAGAAGCTGCAGAAGAGAGTTTCAACTACAATAACTGTGAAGCAGAAGAAGATGGTTCATGTGCTGATGGAATGAGACTAGTTCAGCTTCTGATTGCATGTGCTGAAGCGGTGGCGTGTCGGGACAAATCGCACGCTTCGGTTTTGTTATCTGAACTTAAATCGAATGCTTTGGTGTTTGGTTCGTCGTTCCAGAGAGTTGCTTCTTGTTTTGTTCAAGGATTAATAGAGAGACTAACTCTGATTCAACCTATTGGTAACAATTCTGTTGGATTAGATGCGAAATCGATGATGAACATAATGGATGCAGCTTCAGAAGAAATGGAAGAAGCATTCAAGTTGGTTTATGAGATATGTCCACATATTCAGTTTGGACATTTTGTGGCTAATTCCATAATATTGGAAGCCTTTGAGGGTGAGAGTTTTGTTCATGTGGTTGACCTTGGCATGAGTCTAGGTCTACCACACGGACACCAATGGCGAGGACTAATTCAAAGTCTCGCGAATCGATCTGGTAGCCAACGTGTTCTTCGTAGGCTTAGGATCACGGCGGTTGGTCTATGCATTGCTAGAATCCAAGTCATTGGTGAAGAACTCTCAATTTACGCGAAAAACTTGGGGGTTCATTTGGAATTCTCAATTGTGGAGAAGAATTTGGAGAATCTGAAACCCGAAGACATAAAAGTGAATGAAAAAGAGGTTCTTGTGGTTAACAGCATTCTTCAATTGCATTGTGTGGTTAAAGAGAGCCGTGGCGCGTTGAATTCGGTTTTACAAATGATCCACGGTCTTTCGCCAAAAGTGTTGGTGATGGTTGAGCAAGATTCAGGTCACAATGGACCTTTTTTTCTTGGTAGGTTTATGGAATCATTGCACTACTATTCTGCTATTTTTGACTCATTGGATGCTATGCTACCAAAATATGATACCAAGAGAGCAAAAATGGAACAGTTTTATTTTGCTGAGGAGATAAAGAACATTGTGAGCTGTGAAGGGCCATTAAGGATGGAGAGGCATGAGAAAGTTGATCAATGGAGGAGGAGAATGAGTAGGGCTGGATTTCAAGGTTCACCTATTAAGATGGTGGTTCAAGCTAAACAGTGGCTTTTGAAGAACAAGGTTTGTGATGGATACACTGTTGTGGAAGAGAAAGGGTGTTTGGTTCTTGGATGGAAATCAAAGCCTATTGTTGCAGTTTCTTGCTGGAAATGTTGAATGAATCTCTTTTAGTTCTGCTAAAAAGTAACAGTTTTGTGAGAAGCTGTTGCTATGTGTGTTTGAATAATGTGTGATTTTGCGTGCATGTTTGAATTTAAGACCCTAAATTAGTGACTTGTGAAAGCACTGAATAGTTGGGGCGAGAATAAAACTTTTGATGTAAGTTCTGTGTTTTTGTGTGGCTGCTCTTGATAGAGCAGAAATAAAGTGATGAGCTATTGCTTGGTGTGCATAATGTGTGTAGGAGTTTGACAGACATGTAAATTTTCTAACACATTTATTTGATTCAATTTTTCAATAAACTAAATGATATTGCTGCACTTATTTTGTATTTTCTAGTTCTATAGCTCTAAACTCACTCATATTATGTGATTTTGTATCATATGCCATTGATATATTTTATATAACCTATATGTAGAGGAAAATACTCTAAAAAACTTTAGGTTATAACAAACTATTTAACTTCCCATAACTAAAGATTAAAATTTTAGGTTACAACAAACTTTAAGTTATAACAAACTTTAGGTTATAACAAACTAATATGTTAACACCTGCATATAGAAAAGCTAATATTAGGGCGGGAATGAGTTAAATGCAAGAGTTTTAGCAATCATGCTCTTGAATGCTGTTGGACCAGAAAGAATTTTAGCATCTTTATTGTGCCGTTGGTGACTAGGTTCCATGGGAGTGGATGACAGTTTTGCTGCAAATAGAGATTCCTTGAGATGATTTGGCTATCTCAAAACCAAGAAATTACTTGAGGTGCCATAAATCCTTGATGTTGAAGTTAGTATCCAAAATAGATTTAAGGTTTTATATTTCTGAGAAATTATTACTGATCATTAACATAATCAAGAATGGCAGAAAAATAATTATCATTTTATTGTGAACAAGGAGTAATCATATTTAGACTGGAGAAATCCAAAATCAGATAAGGTTAAAGTTAATTTGGTATTCTACTGCTTACTTGTTTGCTTAAGGCTATATATGACTTATTAATTTTTCAAACTAGATTTTAATGTGAAACTTTCAAGCCAAGAGGACACTTCATATAAACTTCTTCATCCAAGTCCTCGGGTAAAAGGGTTGTGTTAATATTGAGCTGGTGTAAATGTCAGTTTTTAGAAAATGTTATAGATAGAAAAAGTCTAATGGTTATCATTTTAATGACTAGGTTGAAAATTTCATGGTAGTTTATACTCTTTGTTTAATTGAAACCTTGCCAAAAAAGTATGCCTTGTTCCTTTCTATGATGATCTTGGCTAAAAAAAATTAACCAAAAAATTCACTTACAACTTTTATTAGGGGGGAGAATAGTAAGATTCCAAGTATTATTGGGAGTAAGAGATTGAAGTGCTTTATGAAAAGCTTTTTGTCAATTGGAATCTTTCATGGCAGAGGAACAAGTAGGTTTAGGTGTGGAAGACAAGTTTAAAATTAAACTTTTGTGGTTATGAGAAAAATTATTATAGGATATGTAATTGAAAATGGGATAAGCGATGTTACCTGATATAATTGAAGAGGATTCGTGTTCTTATCTAGAAGAAGTGCACAATGGTAATCCTAAAGGTAATAGGGTGGTTTAGATTTTCTTGAAAATTTTCTTAAGTGCGAGGAATGGTGTGTTATATGTTCAGGCCAGATGGGAGATACAGGAGGTGTGGTATTAAGAATAGAAAGGAGAGGTAAGAGATTAGAAATATTTGGTTCAAGGAAATCTAGGGATATGTCAGAGTTTGTATGAAAGATAGGTTGAAGTGTAGTTCTGGTTTGGGTGTTAGGAGGTGGAAAGGGAAAAATGTTCTCATGAAAGAAAGTGTCCCTAAAGATGAAAAGAGTTTTGTTCGAATGCCATAAAGGACATGTCATTTTACATTAGGTTTGTAAAGGGAGAGTCGTTGGATGTGTCATACTCCAAAATTTGCTCTTTCTTGTTTCAATTTTTATTTGACTTTTGGTTTGTGATTCATCTGCACTCATTCATGCCAAATACATGTGTATCATGCATTCATATTAACACTTTCAAATAATCATCATAGATTCAAAGTTTGTGGTTATGTATGCCTAACAAGAGCTAGGGTTTATTTGAGAATCGAGCACTAGGGGTGGTGATGTTGCATTCAACTTGGATCAAGCTATGGAACTCTAATTCTTGATGTTTGAGATCTTGGAGATTGCATCATGGGATCCATTATAGATAAACACCCTAATTCTTGATTCATGGATCTTGTGGATCATAAGGTGTGCATCACGGCATTAGGATTTAACTTCAAGTTCATATTGGTCAACTATGAAAGATGGATTTTTGACTGATTACTCTCTTTAAGGGTCTGTCCATTACACTGGTCTACTTAGTTAGTTGATTTGGATTCAAGTTTAAGGCCTTGCCATTCAGGTTTCATTCAAAATGCAAGATTCATTATAGTTCATCCAAGCACTAGATTAAATTTTCATGAATCCAAGAGTGGAAGAAAATGAGTGCTAGCTTGAAATACAAATTACATGTACACATTCATTCAAAAACCATGTTTGTTTCCAAATATCCAATCGCAATACAAGTCGCGTTACAACAAGTCCAATTTTTACACAACATCACACTTTTGACCCTATAGTTAACTATGGTCAACTGTTGACTTTTTGGTCAACCAGTTGACCAAAGTCAATCACTAATCCTAACCCTAAGTCCTATATCTTCTCCATTCTTAAGTTGTCTCCTCTTGTCCACAAATCCTTCATAAGACTTGATATTGTTCTAAATGTCCTCTTGTTCATGAAATGGCCTTGTCAACATCCCATACCACATCAAACCTACAACACAGAACCACGCAGTGCATAATTAGGATTAACATCAAGACTTTCAAATTAATCCACCATAACTGTTGTGGATCGGATGTCTTTAAACAGAATATAAATGGTTTCTTTATGATCAAGAAACACACAAGGGTTATGGTTAACAAAGAAAATAAGGTAAAACAACAAGGAACAACAACGATTAGTTATAAACTTCTATTTTTTCCTTTCTCTTAGAAACAAGATTACAAGTATACAAAAATAACAAAATGACCTCTCTCTCTTGAAATTAGGATTTTATCTTCCTATTTTTCCTTATGCCAAGATTGAGAAACTAGCATCATATTTTATAAGAAAAATATCACACTAACCTAATGGGCTTTTTAACAATTACCCATTACAAGCTAACTTAGGGTACAAGCTAACTTAAACAATTGGACTTACAAGAAAGGCCAAATTCAACAGGCTAACAAACCTAGCAATATTGAATAATGCATGTTAGAACAAACTTTGACTACAACACGCATTACTCCGACAGCAGCATGCGAACATACTTCGACCTCATGCTTAATTCCTGTCGAACCAGAAGCTACCCTTCAACCATACTAGAGTTTGATCCAACATCTCACAATAACATATAGCATAGTTCTCATTCAATACTAACATTCATGACATTACACAATAAATAACCATTCTAACCAACCAAAATTCAAGCTATACCTAACAATCACATTAATCAATTAACCACATAACTAGCACTAACCAACAGCTTCTTCAATCTAGCACTAACCAACATGCATATAACCCTTTCAAGGATTGTTCAATTGAATCTCTCAGCTAAGCCATTTTGTTGAGGAGTACCTGCTACAGTCTTATGCCTTGCAATCCCAGACTTAACACAGTAATTGTCGAATGCTTCATTGTAGAATTCAAGGCCATTATCGGTTCTCAACCTCTTGACCTTTCTTCCAGTTTGAGTTTTGACCAGAATCTTCCAACTTTTGAAATTCTCCAAAGTTTCATACTTCGTATTCTGAATGAATACCCATAGCTTTCTAGAATAGTCATCAACGATGGATAGAAAATACCTTGCACCTGAGTGTGAAGGATTTCTTGCAGGCCCCCAAAGATCAGCATGAATCTAATCCAGGAATCCATGTGTTCTTTGCTTGCCTTTGTTAAACTTCGCCCTACAGAATTTACCAAATACACAAGATTCACAAAACTCCAACTTTTCGAATTTGTAACCTCTTAGCAAGTTCTGCTTCCCTAATTTGACCAGGCCTCTTTCGCTAACATGGCCCAATCTCATGTGCCATAATTCTATCTTCGACACAGGTTTCGTGGATGCAACATTTGTCGAACCACTTACAACCTTATCCTCAAGGGTATACAAATCTTATTTCTTCACGCCTCTCAAGACTTCCTTCGACCCCTTCATCACTCTTAGGATACTTTTCTCTCCTTGAAAAACATATCCCTTTCTGTTGAATTCACCAAGAGAAATCAAATTTCTCTTCAAGTCAGGTACATACCTGAATTCAGTTAATAACCTTATTGACTCATCATGGAGCTTGAATCTCATAGATCCAATACCTGCAATTTTGTAAGGTTTGTTGTTTCCCAGCAGCACAGATCCACCATCTTGATCACATAGCTCCTCGAACAATTCTCTATTTGGAGTCATGTGCCAAGTGCAACCTGAATCCATAATCTACTCTTTTCTCGAGTCGCCACTTGAAACCACAAGAACATTAGATGAGTCGAAGTCATCTTGAACAATGGTTGCATTGTCATTACCTCCATGATCTTTCAGGCATTCAGGGAACACCTTTCTTGTGTGACCCTCCTTCTTACAGTGATAACATCGAATACCATATATTTCGCCACTATAAGATTTATGTTGACTTTTACCTTTCTTCTTGTCGAACTTACCATCCTTTCGCAAGAATTTTCCCTTAACGGCCAAACCTTCGCCCACCGTCGAAGGTTTATGCTCCTTTCGTTTATTCAAGTCCTTAGAATACAAGACTGATTGAAATTCTTCAAAGGTCAGGGACTCCCTTCCATACAAGAGAGTTTCTTTGAAGTGAGCATGTGTTTTGGCAAAAGCACACAATAACAATGATACTTGATCTTCATCATCGATCTTCACATCAATATTTTCAATATCAAGAATCAACTTGTTGAACATATCCAACTGCTCA